ATTTGCTAGTGATATGACAGTTTACAGAAGTGATTTCAAAAATTCTACCAGAGAACTCCTACAACTGATAAATACCTTCAGGAGTGTAGCAAGATACAAGATTAACTCAAAAAAATCAGTAGCCCTCCTATACACAGATGATAAATGGGATGAAAAAGAAATCAGAGAAACATCACTCTGCAAATAGCCACAAATAAAGTAAAATATCTAGGGGTAACTCTAACCAAACAACTGAAAGACCTGTATGACAAGAACTTCAAGTCTTTTAGAAAGAAATTAAAGAAGATATAAAAAAATGGAAAGATCATCCATGCTCCCGGATAGGTAAGATCAACAGAGTGAAAATGGCAATCCTGCCTAAAGTAATCTACAGATTCAGTGAAATCCCCATCAAAATACCAACACAATTATTCACAGACATTGAAAGAACAATACTCAACTTCATATGGAAAAACAAAAACCCAGGATAGCCAAAACAATACTGTACAATAAAGGATCATCTTGGGGTATCACCATCCCTAACTTAAAGCTCTACTATAGAGCTATAGTAATGAAAACGGTTGGTATTGGCATAAAAACAGACAGGTAGACTAATGGAATCTAATTGAAGACCCCAATATCAACTCACACAGCTATGAACACCTAATTTTTGACAAAGAAGCTAAAAATATAAACTGGGAAAAAGAAAACATATTCAACAAATGGTGCTGTTATAACTGTCTGTCAACATGTAGAAGAATGCAAATCTATAGATGCATATCTATCCGATGCACAAAACTCAAATCAAAATGGATCAAATACTATATAAAACTATCCACACTAAACCTCATAGAAGAGAAAGTGAGAAATACACTTGAACACATAGGCACAGGAGACCACTTCCTAAATAAAATACCAATAGCACAGACACTGAAAGCAACAATTAATAAGTGGGACCTCCTGAAACTGAGAAGCTTTTGTAAAGCAAAGAACATGGTCAACAAGATAAAACAGCACCCTAAAGAATAGGAAAATGTCTTCACCAACACCACATATGACAGAGGGCTGATCTCCAGAATACACAAAAAACTCAAGAAACTAGATATAAAACTACCAAATAATCCAATTTTAAAAATGGGCACAGATCTAAACAGAATTCTCAACAGAACAATCTCAAATGGCAGAAAGGCACTTAAGGATATGCTCAACATACTTAGTCATCAGGGAAATGCAAATCAAAACTACTCTGAGATTCCATCTTACACTGATCAGAATGACTAAGATCAAAAACACCAATGACAGCTTATGCTGGAGAGAATGTGGAGAAAGGGGAACACTCCTCCATTGATGGTGGGAGTGCAAACTTGTACAGCCACTGTGGAAATCAGTATGGTGATTTCTCAGAAAATTAGGGATCAACCTACCTCAAGACCCTGCAATACCACTGTTGGGCATATACCCAAAGGAGGCACATTCACACCACAAGGACATTTGCTCAACTGTGTTCATATCAACATTATTCATAATAGCCAGAAGTTAGAAACAACATAGATGCCCCTAAACTGAAGACTAGATAAAGAAAATGTGGTATATTTACACAATGGAAAACTAAAATTTGCAGACAAATAGACAGAACTAGAAAATAACATTTGAGTGAGGTAACCCAAAACCAGAAAGACAAATATAGTATGGACTCAATAAAATACTGACAAACCTAATCCAAGAATCATAAAGCAAAATATACCCAATCTGCAATTCACAACCCTAGAGAAGCTAGAACCCTCTTCCAGATGCAAAAATCCACAACTAACCAATGGGCCAACCTCCTGGAGTACAATTGAAGTGAGGGAGGAGTGATAATATGAGCAAAGGAGTCAAGACCATGATGGGGAAACCCACAGAATCAGCTGGCCTGAGCTAGTGAGAGATCACTGACTCCAGTCTGACAAATGGGGAACCTGCATAACACTAAAACCAGACTCCCTTAATATAGGTGACAATGGTGTGGCTGGGACAATAAATGAGGCCACTGGCAGTGGGTCCAAGACCTAACTGTAATGCACAAACTGACTTAGTGGAGCCCTTTCTAAATGGATATTTTTCCCAGCCTAGACACAGGACTGTGGGGGTGGGGACATGCCTTGGTCTTGCCTCAACAAGATGATGGGACAGACTTGGTAGACTTCAAGTGGAGGACTTACCCTCTCTGGTGGGCAGGTGGGAGATGAAAAGGCAGGGGGTGGAGTGTGAGGAGAGGAGGGAAGGGGACTAGTTTTGGAATGTAAAAAATAAAAAAGGGTAGGTCTGAGACTTTAGCCCCCATCCTGGTCTGATTGCTCAGCTTTTGCCTAGATAACCCAGAGGGGGCTGTTGTGCATCTCAGAGGTACTGTTGGGGCCTTCTTGGCATATTACTCCACCAGCCAGACCCCGCACTTGTCTCCCAGCTCCTCAGACATCCACCTGAGGGCTATTCATGATTGCTCACAGGCAGGGATGCTCCAGTAGATTGTTAAGGTCAGAGCCTGGGCCCTGGCACCTCTAACATCCTATACTTTGACCACCTATTCTCCACAGGCCTGGAAGACAACAGTGAAGAGCAGGGGAAGACTGGGCATGGTGGTACACGCCTTTTTTTCCAGCTTTAATATGGAGAGTCAGGTGGATATTCGTGAGTTTAAAGGCCAGCCTGGCCTATCTACACAGTGGGTTTCCAGAAAGCCAGATACATGGAGAGACCCTGTTTCATAAACAAAACAAGCAAAAGAGCACAGAGAAAGAGATTTAGTTTAAGTAGCCACACTGGGAAGAGGAGCTAATAATGAGGTCCAGTGACACCCCACTCCAAATTTAGGGTCCTCGCCTGAGAGTTATTTTCATATGAAGCAAGAAGTATGCAAAACTAAGCAATCCTGATTAAGGTGTGGTCGTGTCCACCACTGCCATCAGTCCCTCTGCTCCAGTGTCCCCTGCAAGGTGATATGACAAGTGAGCAGAAGTCTTTGAATCCTAAAGGAAGCCAAGTTTTCCCAAAGTGCAGCAGCAGGCTTCAGTCTTTTCCCTTTGCCTGCATGAAATTCCTGGAGGGGTTGCAATTATTGCTAGGGTGCATTGACTCTATCACCTTGTGTCCAATCAGGGAGGCACAGTGTCTCTTTGGAGGACCTTCACTGTTTCCAGGACAGTTAAATTGTCCCTGCCTTCCTTTACACTACTGATAGTTGAGGTGAAAAGTCTTTTATCTAAATCAAATAACGTAAACAGAACGCAAGCAGGAACATTGGAGGCTATGCCAGGCAACCACGCACAATAATCATTTCTCCATACTCCCTTGTTTTAGCTGTTCATGAAAGGACTGGCACTAGTGACTCCATTGTTGGTGCTGTGGTCACAGGATCTAGCCATGGAGCACAGGCTGACTTCAGCAACCTTAGTATTCTCTGCCCAGCTTCTCAAGCACTGACTTACGTCTGCGCTGGTCTGTTTTGTCAATTGATACAGCCAGGGTCATCTGCGACCAGGGAACCTCAGCTGAGAAAGCATCTCCCTCAGGTTGTCCTTTAGGCAAGTGTGTGGTTCATCTTCTTGATGAACGGTTGATACTGTAGGGCCCGGCTCACTGTAGCAGGTGCCAACCCTGGGCATGTGGTCTTGGTTGACATAAGATGAGGCTTGATCTGTTTGTTGGGGCCTGGCAATGGGATCAGGACTTACCCTGGGAGCATGAGCTGGCTTTTTGGAACCCATTACCTATGTCAGGATACCTGGCCCAGCTTAGACTCATAGGGGAGGGGCTTGGTCCTTCCTCAGCTTGGTATCCCAGACTTTGCTGACTACTGAGGGAGGCCTTATATCCTGTGAGGTGTGGATGAGGGGTGGGATAGGGTGAAGGTGGGAGGGGAGGAAGGGAAGAAGGGGAAGCTGAGGTTGGTTCGTAAAATGAAAAAAAGTTTAAATAAAAAATAAAATAAAGAAAATTTAAAATTAAAAACGTAGAAATTTAAAAGAAAAGAAGCTGAACACACCATGTAGAGGAAGCTAGAAGGCAGTGTTCTCTCATGGCTGCTGCTTTGGTTCCTGCCGGGAGTTCTTGCCCTGACTTCCCTCAGGATGGATAGCAATGGGGAAATGGAAGTCAAATATGGTATTTCCGACCCAGGCTGGTTTTGGTCAGCATTTTATCACAGCGATAGAAACCTAATGAAGATGGCAGGCAAAGGTTACTCTGCCCATAAAGATTCCTTTTAAATCAGTCAAGTCATCCCTCATCTTTTAGCAATATTCCGAGTAGACATGACTGATCTACCATCCTGTTTGATCTTGTCCACCTGTCACCACTGAGGAGATCCATTTCATCTGGTCTGAACATGTGATGGGGAAGAAAGTTTCAGATGTCAAGGAGCCAGGACCACTAAAACTCTCCAGCTAGGTGTTAGCAGCTCAGAGCTGCCATCCACTGGTGAGACATGAGTAGATTGTACCACATGGGGAATAGACATGAAGTCACTGAACCATATAATTTAAAATGAGTAAACAATAAACTTTTATTAATACTAAAGCATAAATATCAACCCAACAATAACATAATTAAACAAAATTAAAGGCAATATTAACAATAAAACAAGAATTAAATGAAATTACAGGTGATAACAATGTAAACAATGAAAATTGTTTGAGCTCACAGCAATTCAAGGATCTTCATGCGATGGGCGGAACCTAAGCTCCTCCCTGCTAGGTTTCTCGGTACACCCCAGGTACTCATATCTGGCTCCATTCATCCCATCACCTAAATAGTGTTTAGAACTTTTGATCCAAATTGGGGAGAGTGAGTGACACAATCTAGGGTTGTCTCCTCCATCCCATTTCTGGCTATGTCACTTTGAAGGGCCAGTAACCAGGACCAATGATGCCAGGGTACAATCATCCTTGTCCTACGAGAGCATACAATCCCAGAGGAGAGAAGAGCCATCCTGAAACCAGAGCAGGAGGCTTGAGAGCCTGAACTTGTGTGTAACCACTCACATTTCCATTATCAGGTCCAGCACCTTCCAGGTGATGGCAAACTTTTGGTAGTCAGCCAAAAATATGTATATCTCAATGATGTCCTCATTCTTAATTGCAGTTGGAATATAAGATATGAATTTTTCCAGGTAGTCTGGGGTGGTAGGATTGAACCTGGGGGACTTATGCCACTTCCTTTTATTCTGAGGAAAGATCAAGGAAGGAAAGAGGGTTTAAAATAAAAATTCAGAGACATCACCAACCCATTACCATACACTGAAGTGAAAAGCAGACATAAAGAATGTTCCCCAGGGTTCTCCCAGGAACACGCACCCCATCAGGGACTGTGGTGGATCAGGGGACCCATAAAGGTTTCCTGCTATATGCTGGCCTGTGTCACCTTGGTTTCTCTGTGAGAAAATGGCCATAGGTTTTGGATCATTGGGCATACCCAAAGTCTCCAAAGGTGACCAAGACCACAACTCTAGGCTCGTTGGTAGCCTAAGCCATCATCAGAAGTCTGGAAACAGCAGAACATCCCAAATGCTCAAGCACCTTCAAAGAAATGAGTCAGTTGAGGCTGCTGCCAACCTGCAGTTACCTAGTAACCAGGAGTCCCTGTTACATCTGGACAACAGTAAGGAAGTGAGGTCACTTCCTGGGGCCCTCCAGCATAAGTCTCTTTCACATAGGCTTTGCTAAGGGCCGACCAGGGCTGCCAACAACTCTCCCCCTGCCTCTCCATGTGTACAGTGGTACACAGTAGTATCCATATGCTTATTCCACACAGTGGCCTGGGGAGTCTGGCTTCAGCTTTGAGAAGCTAGAAGAGCTTTCCAAACTATCCCCTCTATACCTCAAGCATCAAAGGAAAAAGTAGTTTCTCTTAGGATCTTCCCACTGTCCTGACCTGCTCCTTGTAGATCATTCTAGTGTTGATTTCCTATTATATCATTGTGTATATATGATCACAGATACCCTATACCTGGGAAATCCCTGTCACCAGGGGTGAAGGTACAAATAGAGACAGGTGCCCATGTCCTCACACCCACACTCCCAGAAGGGCACACAGACCACCCACTTACAGATGCCCAGGAATATGTCAGTACAGAAAGGACCATGCTTAGGTGGCCTTAGGGATACTTACAGTGAGGTTAGTGTTGGGGTAAGAGACAGAAAAAAACTGTCTGAGCTCATGTTTAGTCGTGCCTTTCACTTTGATGACCAGGGTGGGCTCCTCTCCTTTTCTATGCATTCTAGTGTTTATTCCCTTCGGGCTTCCACAGGCAACAGTGTGCCTCTTCTGCATCCCCAGACTGAGGTCTGTTTTGCAAGGTGTTCCATACTGCTCACAGCATCCCTTCCCCCGAGGAAAAAGCACACATTAACATGAAGACTTTGTAAGTTTCCTTATCTGCTTTCGTTGATGACTAGTTCAAAATTCATGCATGTCCAAGTCTCAGGCTTGTTGAAGGAAAAACAAGAAGCTTAAAAATTCAGTGTAGAGATGTGGATGGCCTTTGCTGAAACCTAGGGTTATGGTGACATCAGGGCCTGAGCTGCCAAGGGTCATGTCTGTGTCTGTAACCCTACCAAATCCAGGTTCTTTGTTGATGTCCATTGCCCCTGTTCCAACCAAAGGCCATGAGGATGCCTGAGGTGTGTGTTGACACCTGAGGCTATGTTTGTTTCTAAAGCCATACTGATCTAAGTAACCTGTGCTGCAACCTAGGTTCATGGTGACATCTGGGCCCAAGCTGCTAAGGGCCATGTCTGGTTCTGTGGTCATGCTACAACTGTAGTCTGTGTTGATGTCTGTGGCCTGTTTTACCACAGGGGGGCATGTGAATCATGTGTGTTGAAATCCAAGTGCCATGCTGAGAGGACCCTGCCTTTTGCTGGCCTTAGGAGATCTGCCCCTACCCTTCACTGGCTGCTGCAGCAGAAGTGCTGGCCTTGACCCTCAAAGAAAGCTGTCCCCACCCTTCACTGACCCTGAGAGAACTGGCCCTGATGACCCAACCCTGGGAGAGCTGGCTTCATATTCAGGAGATGATGGGGGATGCCTTCCTGTATGCTGTGAATGTATGTTTCTCTTATCGTTTGATGAATAAAGCCATTTCTGCCAATGGACAGGCAGGATTTAGCTAGATGGGAAATCCAAACAGGGATAGAAAAAGGTAGTAGACAGAGTCAAAGAGATGCCATGTAGCTGCTGAGGAAGCAAGAGACCTGGGCATCACTGGTAAGCCAAGACCATGTGGAGATACACAGATTAATAGAAATGGGTTAATAATTAAGAGACAGCTAGTTAATAAGAAGCCTGAGCCATCGACCATTCAGTTTATAATTAATATAAGCCTCTGTGTGTTTGTTTGGAACTAAATGGCTGTGTAACCGGGTAGGGCAGAAACTTCCATCTACAAGGAGAACTGACCCTCACATCTCACCACAGGCATGGGACAACTGACCCAAATGGTGTGGGGTTCATGAGAGCTGACCCTGGCCCTCATTTATGGAGGAAGTCCTATCCGAGGCCTGGCTTCACCAACTGAGCTACCACCCTGGCCCACATCCAGTACTCTGAGTTGGACCAGCCCAACATCTACCCCATCTATGACCTGCTGGAGTGCAGGAAGGGACTGGTTCTGTGAACCAGAGCTGCAGGGTCTCCATGACTCAAGGCAACAAGCAGGAGATCCAAGAGGACTTCTGGTGAGGGACCAGCATTAATGGTGTACCTGGAACCATCCCAACAACTCATTACCATTGCCATTTGCATGTAAAGCTGTTTGGAAAAAGGGTCTACTGCGTGATACACTACAGCTCCCAATGCCACTAAGACAAATGATGAGGTGATGGAGAGGCGGGAAAGATTGAGAAATGATGTTCTTTTTTTAATATTCATATTTTTATTTTTAAATAAAATTTTCTTTTGCAGGGAGGGACAGTTGAAAGGTGAATGGAAGATATGGAGGGTCTGGGAAATGAGAGGAACTAGGGTGCATGAGGTGAAATTCCCAAAGAATCAATAGAAATATTATGTTTAAAAAATTCAATGCAAATTACACATTGGTACATGATTATAATCCTAGCACTTGGAAGGCGGAGGCAGATAGATCTTTAAGTTCAAGGCCAACTTGGTCTACAGAGCCAGTTCCAGGACAGTCAAGACTGTACACAGAGATGCCCTGTGTCAAAAACCAAACCAAAAAAAAGTCTATGCAGAAACAGACAAAGAAGGAAGTGAGTTTCTGGTTCCAAGATTTATAAAATATATAAATTCATATTGATATATATGGCATGAAACTCTCTGGGAATTAAAGTGACCAGTGGGGTTTGAAGGGACTTAGGGGGATAGATGTATGTATGGGAAGGGATATGCTCAATGTATTTTATGACAATGTTTACATTATATAATTAGGAACAAGTATCATTTAGATAATTAAGAAAATGTTTTCGTTCTTAAAAATTATCTTATTATTTTTTTGTGTACCAGTGTATGTGTGTCTATGCACTAGATGTATGCAGTACTGTGGAAACCAGAAAAGGGTGTTGGATCTCCTGGAATCCAGGTTATAGGTGGTTGTGAGCTGCCATGTCAGTGTTGGGAATTGAACCTGAGTCCTCTGCAAGAACAGCCAGTGCTCTTAACCACTGAGCGTTCTCTCCAGCCCAATTTTGTTCTCTTTGTGGTCAAAGAGTAGCCCACTGTAGAAACCTTGATCAGTGTTCAGTGCTACCCAGTAAAAATTTCCAGCTGGGTTATTTTACACAACTTGGTTGTATCATTCATTTCTATCCTATTAATTAAATTACTATACAACGAACATCAAATGTTAACAGCCTCAGTTGATGGCCACACTTATTTAGGCTACAGCTGTGTAATTTTGGTGACAGGTTGATGCAGGGATAAGTGAGGCTGTATCCCAGGATGCAGGCTGGCTGCCCACCAGCTGGGGTCTCAAGGGTCCATGTCTTGCTGACTCAGGTCTGCCAAGGGATGCTATGCTGGCTGCCAGCCAGGACAGCTGGGGTCTGGCTTCCCCCACAGCACACTGGTGGTAACCCAGCAGAAGGCCTCTCAGACCCTGGCCTTAGATGTCAGACAAGCAGCAGGACAGTGCCAAAAGCCCAATAGATAGCTGGGAGGTGGTGGCACACTCCTTTAAACGCAGCACTTGAGAGGCAGGGGCAAGTGGATCTCTGAGTTCAAGACCAGCCTGGTCTATAAAGTGAGTTCCAGGACAGCTAGGACTGTTACATAGAGACACCCTGTCTCGGGGGTGGGGTGGGGGGAGCACTATAGCTTCAATAGAGGGAAACGTGGCCCACTTGTTCATAAAGAGTAGAAGAGTCTACAAGGAATACTTCTCACCAGTTTTGGAAAACTCCAGCCTGCTTTGGATATACTTCTAGGGCCTGAGTTGCTATGTTTGGGGTACATATGCCTGGGCCCTGGCAGCCCTAACACCTTTGGCCCGGTAGACAGCAGTGAAGAGCAGAGAAAGACTGGGCGTGGTGGTGAATTTGTTTTAATGAACCAGCACTTGGGAGGCAGAGGCAGGGAATCTCTGTGAGTATAAGGCTGGCCTGGTCTATAGAGGGAGTTCAAGGATAATCATGCTCCACAATGGAGAGACCATGTCTCAAAATCAAGAAAAGCAGCAACAAGCAAACAAACACAAAAGCAGAGAAAGGAGATAGTTCAAGTAGCCACACTGGGAAGAGCAGCTAATAATGAGGTCCAGTGACACCCCACTCATATTTCCGGTCCTCGTCTGAGAGTTGGTTTTAATATGAAGGAGAGGTGTGCAAAACTAAGCAATCCTGATTAAGGTGTGGTCGTGTCCACCACTGAGCCATGAGTCCCTCTGCTCCAGTGTCCCCTGCAAGGTGATATGACAAGTGAGCAGAAGTCTTTGAATCCTAAAGGAAGCCAAAGTGCAGCAGCAGGCTTCAGTCTTTTCCCTTTGCCTGCATGAAATTCCTGGAGGGGTTGCAATTATTGCTAGGGTGCATTGACTCTATCACCTTGTGTCCAATCAGGGAGGCACAGTGTCTCTTTGGAGGACCTTCACTGTTTCCAGGACAGTTAGATTGTCCCTGCCTTCCTTTACACTACTGATAGTTGAGGTGAAAAGTCTTTTATCTAAATCAAATAACGTAAACAGAACACAAGCAGGAACATTGGAGGCTATGCCAGGCAACCACGCACAATAATCATTTCTCCATACTCCCTTGTTTTAGCTGTTCATGAAAGGACTGGCACTAGTGACTCCATTGTTGGTGCTGTGGTCACAGGATCTAGCCATGGAGCACAGGCTGACTTCAGCAACCTTAGTATTCTCTGCCCAGCTTCTCAAGCACTGACTTACGTCTGCGCTGGTCTGTTTTGTCAATTGATACAGCCAGGGTCATCTGCGACCAGGGAACCTCAGCTGAGAAAGCATCTCCCTCAAGTTGTCCTTTAGGCAAGTGTGTGGTTCATCTTCTTGATGAACGGTTGATACTGTAGGGCCCGGCTCACTGTAGCAG